TTGGATACTGTTGAATCCCAAAATGTTCTTCAGGTCACGCCCAAGGAATAGAGGATTGGTTGAATGAGAGGAATAAGAGAAACTAGGAGAAAGAAAAATTAAAATTAGCACTAATTCACTAGGAATAGATCCAATAGTCTTTTCTATAGAAATGACTCTTATTCATAAGTCATAGAAGGGGTATAATAAATTACACGATTATCCCTCATTTAAAGAGACTCTTATTTATAAGTCACAGAAGGGGTATAATAAATTACACGATTATCCCTCATTTAAAGGGAACATTACAATCAATTATGAGTCATTATACATTTATATATTTGTAATTGAATCGAACATATTTTGACATTGTAACCGTTGTTGGCATCATTCTATATATATAATTGTCCATGGCACCGTTTCATATTTGTAATTGCTTGGCTTGGTCATTTGGTATTCGTTCAGTCAGCTAAAAGTCATTCGGCAGACTGAACGATCTTTTGTCGCCTTTCACGAGAGGATCCATTGTGAAGACTCATTCTCCTCTAGGAAGGATTATTCTATCAAGCATGTATTCCCGTATTCTGACAGGCAGTCTACCTTCAGTTGATGAGTCTATGTAGGAGTCTCCGCCAAGCGACTGTTCATCTTGTGAACACCCTTGTGACGGTTAAGTTGTTATTGGTATAGGTGTGTGGCACTCCATGGTTCGATCGGACTAATGTTTGGTTGGTCCAAAATTTGGCCAACTAGAATGATGTTGGATTACTCGACCTTTTTTTTTTGTTTTCTTCGTGCTATCTGTTGAATTTCCTTGAATAAATAGTTTTCTGAGTTTTTTCTTTGAAAGAGACAACTGCCATAAAAATAAGAAAATTAAATGAAACAGTTGTTTATATAATGAGTAATAAGTACTGTTAATAATTGTGCTCATTGAATTTTTGTGTTGTTTTTCCCTATAAATAGAGCACGATCAACATTTTCCTTCCTTGCTTCTAGAATTATCTTGCTCTTCAGTCATTTATAGCAGAGGACGAGGATGTCAGGTGCTAAGAAGCCTGTGAGTGAAAAAGCACTGATGAAGGCCTTCAGGCTTCCCTCTACAAAAAGCCGCCATTCTGAAAGAGGAGGAAATCGGAGAGTTCTTGTTCTGTCCTGAAGAGATAAACCGGCGAAGAGGGTCTATTAGCCGAGAAGAGGTCGAGAGATGAGAGGAAAATGATTGGCATCAAAGAGTCGTCTAAAGGGACCAGACCTGAGAGATCCAAGTTGGTGAAGCAGCCAGTGGCAAAGAAACAGAAAGTATAGGAGATTGAAGAGTCTTCCGACTCATTACCACTCCTAGAGGTCAGGAGCCGAATTGGAGAGCACATTGTTGATGTGTTTGTCCTGGCTTTTGTCCCAATCAGCCAACAACTGGCTCAGTTGCCGACCTAGGCAAGTAGAAACGACTACTTAAACTTTGTTGCTATAAGGTGTCCTGACTCAGCATTCAGCCGGCAAGGTTGTCTAGGGTGATGCCCTGTCATTCGAAGGTTCGCTGCTTCAGCCTTCAGTCAAAGAGGCTGCTTAGGGTGGTGCTCTACCACCTGATGGTAAAAATCTCTGTACGTCGGAGATAGACAAATGATTGAAAATTTGAAGTCTCTTTTGTTTGGTTATCCAGTTTATTCTAATGACACTGACTCTAATGTTGCAAATGAGATTGTGGAAAGCATTGACTCCTTGCCAACAAGGGTCGTGAAGCTTGTCGGGTTGAAGGCAATTGCTGATCCTTTTGCTCCTGCCCCGGTTGAAGTAGTGTCTGTCCCACCACCTCCTTTGGTTGATTCTAAGAGGGAAACGGACGACCATTGAGGGTCACACGAGTCGTTGGCCTGGCGTATGGACGAGACCATAAACTCCTTTGACCAGGCAGCGGGCCTTCAGAGAGTGTTTCCATTTCGAACATAGGGTGGAATTGGCCTCCCTCTATGCTAATATTGAGACTCTTCGGGCCAATGCGGCAAGTATTCAGAGTGAATTAACAAAATTTTAGGCAGCTACCGCGGACATAGGGTGGAATTGGCCTCCCTCTATGCTGATATTGAGACTCTTCGGGCCAATGCGGCAAGTATGCAGAGTGAATTAACAAAATTTTAGGCAGCTACCGCGATTTCCTGCGTTCGGGCGGAAGAGGAAAAGATATAAAAATATGAATTTGGTAGGTGTGTATTGTATGTGAGTTTGATTAGTCGAGGTCAAGTCTTGCCCGAGCGGCGGACGACCCAACTATAAATTACTTTTTATTATAAATAAAATTTCTAACTTTTGCACAATTTCAAAAAATTTCAATCATCATGCATCCTTGATTCTTGAATCAATGTGATGTGTTTCTGAAGCCCAATGTACACTTTTGAGGCATTTCGACTTCCTTGCGTACTTTATATATAGGGTTGAGCGAAGACTTGGTAAAAACCTTTCACTTTTCACTTTTCTTGCCTTTAGATTGGTCTTTCTCAGAGCTCAATGGCATCCAAATATTCTCCTCATATCTTTCGTTATGTGAGGTCGACCGAGAGAATGATCTTGACAAAATTCGATGCTGCACTGCTAGATGACATGTGTGTATGACAAAAGTGTCGTCCTCCATTGAGTGGATGCGGAGGTTCGTGCCACTGACTATTTGAGTGACAGCCTGATCTTTTATCAGGATCAATTCCATTGTGGGCTATGGATGACTCTATGTACCAAGTTGCAATCGATCTTCAACCACTACGGAGTCATATTGAACCAGATTAAGTCGAACTTCATCGCAGCGGTGATGACTTATGTGATTTACTTGCACCGGATTACTTGCGTGATCCAAGGAATTATTGACTTTTCCTGTGATTATGTCTGACACAATTGCATTTAAGATTTTCTACATATTGTGAATGAACACTTACATAGACTGTATAAATTCAAACTTGATTTGTCTCTTACAATACATATGATTTTATGATTTTACCATATTATGAATCTGATGAATAGGTTCATAAAGTCATTGCTGACAAGTATTTGTTTGTTATGATTCAAGCATATAACATATAAAAATGTCTATGATGAAAGTGTTACAGAAAATATGAATTAAGAAATATCACAATTGATGTTATATGTAAGTTATTACATGAAAGCTTGCAATTACGAATGATAGGGAGCGTTGGGATACCGGACTCCTTGTATTCAAGTAGGGATGAAACTCCGAGAACCATTGGGATCAAACTGAGACAAAATCTAAGGAACCGTTAGTACTAGAGAATTTATTGATAACTGTTGTGTTGAGAAGGATCTAATCTTTCTCAACAGTTAATGTAGCCATCAAGTTAAGTAAAAACCCAATAACATGACATGATATGAAAATAGTTCAATGTTTATATAATTACAAGTGACATTCCTATAATTATAATTGATAATTATGATTCTTATGAAATGATTAATGAATGAAAAATATATTTTATACGATTGTCATCAATTTCTGCATTACATGTCTTTTCTTTTACATATTTTATATGGTTATAACATGTCGTGGCATGTGTTGCGGAAATATACATGAGCTACATATGATCATGCATGTGGCTTCTTTTTTATCTATAAAATCTTTTAGTCTTGATTATTCGTTGAGCTTATTATAGCTCAGTCTACATTATTGCATTTCAAGAAGGGTCACGTTGGACTTGTACAGTTTTTACATTATAATTTTGGGAGCTTGTACAAACTTTTGTGATAATTTTATTATGTCGAATTTAGCAATTTTGTATAGATATAAATATTTTAGTGATATAATTTTTCACACTTTCAAGTATATGAATATGAAATGTATTATGTATGTGTGTGATGCTTTAGTTAGACTAGTTCATCGTCCACTGGGTCATGATTATGCAAATCAGGATGAGTGCTAATATAAATTTAGTCTAACTGAATCGTCAGCCTCAGCCGCATCGTCATTGATCTCAAATGGGGAGTCAGATGAGGTGTGACACATCATTGATCTTAAGGTGCATGTATCGTAACAAAAAGTCCAAAAAGCGTAAAGGTTTGTCTTGACGTAGTCTCATATTGTGAGATTTTAAACAATAGCCGCTTATTTAAAATCTGAAAGTTTATCATTTTCCTATCATTATAAATAGATGTTCATATAAACATTACATATTCAAATTTAATTCAAAATAAATTTAGAATTGCTCTTCCCTATCTCACTAGCCGGCTAGCCCTCCTTCAACCTCTCAGATAGCTAGCCGCTTTCTCACATCAAGAAGAAAAAAATTCAAAGTAAGGCAAAGTGAATTAAACCAATCAAAAGCTTTTCATCTCTTTCTTGTCAAGGAAAAGTGATTTACATATAAATCCTAATATTGGCATGTAACAGAAAAATAACCCAAACTCTGCACAAAACCAAATCTTTTAAATCATCTAACCCCAGCTACGTGTGATATATTCACATCATGACTTAGTTATTGGATAAATATTAGATTATGTGCTTCTACAAATCAAATGTCACTCTACAATCATACAACTTCATTTCATTTGAAGAGCTTTTGATGGGCTAAAAAAAGAGATATCAAACATACCGTCCAAGCCATTCATTAGAAAAATTTTGAAGGGTTCCATGAATAATTAACTAATAAAAAAACACTAAAACCTGACAAATACCAGCAGTGAAATTGAATTTTTATTTTAACCAACAAATTTCAATATATAAAAGAAGATCAACATATCTTGATTTGCAGTTAAAAGTTGAAAGATTAAAATAATGAGCATTAAAATTAAAGCTGCTATTTTCAATTTGTCTGAAAAGTATCCCTTCGATGTGATTTTGCAAGTGCACAAATGTTTCAAATGTATTAAAGTAATTCTGCAATTATAAGAAGTAAGAGGAAGATCCAATTTGTCTGAAAAGTATCCCTTCGATGTGATTGTGCAAGTGCACAAATGTTTCAAATGTATTGAAGTAATTCTGCAATTATAAGAAGTAAGAGGAAGATATTATTATGATTCCTCACCTTAGCATTCCTTGCCTGTACTGCAAAAAGCTACCGGAAAAATCCGCGGCATTTCGGTGATCCACATAGGCATTTCTTTGGTTTTCGGGTTCCCACATTCTCGCTTCCCAAGCCATAATCAAATGTTAGCTCCATCATCGGAGGAATGTGCTTCATTGCAAAGAACATGATATGCGGATAATCTCCCTCGTCATGATCATGTAGAACCGGCTGCCAAAATACATTAGGTGAACAACTGTGGTTCATAAAACGAGCAACATTTCCCACATTCCTGGAGCTAATTATGATGGGAAGTGGCTTAAAAATATCACTCTCATTGATGCTCGGTTCACCAAGTAACTCCGGTCCATGATTCCACTTTAGTGTCTTCTCATCAATATAATTTCCTTCAAAAATGCACTCATCTTCTTCTCCATACTCATTATTCGCATTGATCTTATCAACTACTTCCCCAACGTACTCGCATATAAAGGTTCCTGCACGTATAGGATCCCACGAACGAAGGCCCCAACCACGGTCCCTCGTCCTAAAAACTTCAAAATGAAGATTTATACCTTTTTGTGTCACTCTGTTGCGGCAATTAACGGAGCATGAGCACAAGATATTGCACTCGTATAAAACATGTTTACGGCTCACAACAAATCCATTTGCACAATAAGGAAGGTTCCCTCCATTCTGCTGAGCACAGGAGCAGCTGGCATCGCCAGGAAGGCAAACGCTAATGCACCTGCAACCAAGTAAAGGTTTCATGGAAGTTATGGGTTTCAGATACTTCATTTTAATGGCATATGTGAAATGGCTGGGGCCCTTCTCATTATCAACCTCATTTACAAGAAAAACAGGTAAAGTTTCGACACCGGATGATATGTCCGGGAGTATAACACCACTCCTAGAAGAAGGATTGGCTTTCCAACTCTCAGTATGCTTCCACACAGCGATTCCTTCTGGCTGCCCTGGTTCTCTAAACAACTTATACTTGAAAACATTATTGCCTGCCTTTGCTTTCTCCATCCACGTTTCTTGAATCTTGTAGAGGCCATCATAGATGTAGATCCTTCCATTAATGAGATTCATATCCTTCGCACTCCGTATCACCCTGACTAGATTTCCTCTATGCAAACTTCTCTCGAGTGCGAGATTACCCCTTTCAAGCTTTTGATCAAACAACTGACCTTTGTCATACTTGCTGCTACCCCCGCCCCCCTGGCCAGTGTAAATCAATACATTTGTATCGCCCTCATCGTTCTCGTAGCCTCCAGCGGACACAATACTGATAGCCAATGTTTCATCCACATCAGAAAGTCTGGGTAACATATAATCAATGCCTGCCATGATTTGTGCATGTAAACCAACCAAGCACATTTCTATTCTAAAGTAAAATATATCTCCAATTTCTACACCAGGAACAGGCCCTATTCTCTTGACAATATTAGCGCGGAGATCATTGGACATCATGATAGCCCCGGCTTTCAAGTAAGATCGTTTGCTGGCGTCGTTTGCTTCGTCTAACTGCAGGATCTTCCGGCGGAGCGCATCAAAGGTCATGAGTATTTCCTCAGCTGAATTCCGAGCATCGAGAAAAGAGGAAGGAATCAAGGCCAACTCGATGGGTTTTCGTGGCTTTCTCTTTATTTGGGATTTCTTCTTGCCACTTCCCTCAGGATCTTCACTGTCAGAATCATCAATCTTGTACTTTTTCAAACTTCTAGGGCGCTTAATTTTCCGGCCAGAAGACGAGGTATGGACACTGTAGTCAGGATCATCTTCAAGATTAATCTGTTCGGAATGGTAAGATCCATTTGAAGTTGGAGTTTTATTAGTCCTAGCACGCTGCAGAGATGGAACAGCTTTTTGCTGGTTGGCTGACTCTGGAGTGGAGAAAAATGGCGGGAAACCTTGAGGGAAACCGCCGCCAGAGGAAGATGAAACACTAAAGGGACTCACACAAACAGCCGGCGCAGAACCAAAAGAGGTAAATGCGGTGTTGAATCCATACGGTGCCGGGAACATAGGGGCCAATGATCTCAATGGTTTTGCATCCAAGACTACATCTTCTTGCGATGAAACTGGTTCAGCTTCCATGGCTGAAGGACCAAGGAAAAAACTGCATAGAATGAGAAGTAAATCACAATTTTACCTAGGATCCTAAAAGATGTAAACTGACCTCGATAGCTTAAAACCCAGATATAAAACTAGCATCCATGGTGAAGCCAGTCAGGTTAGTTCTTCGAGGAATGAGTAAACGCAAAAAGAAACTTTAAAAAGTTGAATCAACTTCGTTATTACCATACAAAAATCTATCTTTCCATGATGCCACGACCTAAGGGCAGAAAAGCGAAGTTGCGGTTCAGAAGAGAGAGAGAGTGAGAGAGCGAGACAGTTGAGCCTTACCTTAAGGGGTTTCTAGGGTAAAAACGCACTGAAATCTAATGCGAGAGCAAATCTCTACTGTATTTCAGTTCAGAAGAGAGAGAGAGAGTGAGAGAGCGAGACAGTTGAACCTTACCTTAAGGGGTTTCTAGGGTAAAAACGCACAGAAATCTAATGCGAGAGCAAATCTCTACTGTATTTCTATCTGGATCTTCGTTCTTCTTGTTTTGGTCTTCGAATTGCCTTTGTTTTCGTCAAGACGAGAGTTTGATTCAAGCATGATATACATATGCACCAAACCTCGATATTTATTTAGTGTCATAAGCATATATATTATATATGAAAAATGGGCATTTACATATATACCACCCAATTCTTATTTATTTATTATTTTTATATTTATAGCACTTAATTCTTTCATATTATATCAAAAATAATATTATTTTAACTTTTAAAAGTAAAATACACGTTCATTAATTTGATATATATATATTGAAGTGTAGGTGTTAGATAAGTAAATACGTAGGGCATGTCTAAAATTCCTATAAAAATAATTTCAATTATTAAAAATCAATAATAGTAATATTTTTAGTATGATGTTAATTATTAGAGTGATTTTTTTGTGGAATCAATGATGTCTTATTTTATCAATGTCTTTTAAAAAATATACTTTTTAAATTATTTAATTAAAAAAATTTCATTAAGTAACACTCATTATTACATGTTACATGTTCAAAAATGAAAGCTTAGCTGTGAGATAGGTAAATTCATAAGAATTGGGTGCAATGTATATAATTTTCCCTTAAATTTCTTACTTCAACTTTATTTAATTTATCTGTATTTTTAAATATATAAATCAAGAATTAATGATTTTAAGTTAATTAATCATTAAAAGAATTTCATTAGCTTATTGAGCCATTAACTATTCACTCATTAATTAGTAAAACTTATTTTATAATTAGTATAAGATAATATTTTGATTAAGTATTATTTAAATTTTATAATTAATTAAATAAACAATTCAAATTAAATTAATAATATTATTAATTTTATTTAATTAACTTAATATTTTTCTTAATTGATCCGCTTTAACTAAGAACTAAAAAGTGGAGTGCGGGATGGAATATACTTAAATTCGATTTAGTGAAGGGGAGTTCCCCAAATCACACCTGCATTTCAAACATATTGATATAGTGAATCAAGAAATTAAAATGAAATGCACAAATAATTGAAGGAAGGTATAAGGAATATTGCTTGCTTCTTTTATTTTAAAATAAAATGAGCAAGGAATTGAAATTTGGTGAAATCGGGAACTACTTAACATATTGCTTCAAGCATGAACTAGTCAGTAGCAAGGGGAAGGGGAGTAGATGCAGGATTGCAGTATGGAAAGACGATAACATAATCTGAGATTTACAGAGAACAACAACAACAACAACAACAAAGCCTTAATCCCACTACGTGGGGTCGGCTACATGAATCCTTTTCTCCATTGTGTCTTATTTAGTGTCATATTTTCATTTAGTTCTAGTAAATTAAGAAATTATAGAGAACAACAAAGCCTTAATCCAACTACGTGGGGTCGGGTACATGAATCATTTTCTCCATAGCGTCCTATTTAGTGTCATATTTTCAATTAGTTCTAGTAAATTAAGATCATTTTTAATACAATAAGCCCAAGTCTTCCTAGGTCTACCTCTGTCTTTCTTAACACAAGTCGAATTTAAAACATCTACTCTCCTAATCGGACCATTAGATGGTCGACGTTTAATGTGACCAAACCATCTATAACGACTTTCTCTAATTTTATCCATCACAGGAGCTACACAAACCCTATCATGAATATATTCATTTCGCATTTTGCCTGTAAGTGTAAAGCCACTCATCCACCTAATCATTCTCATCTCGGCAACACTTAACTTATTATTATGCTTCTCTTTTAAAGGCCAACATTCAGCGCCATAGAGCATTGCAGGTCTCGC